TTCACAGTTCATGAAAAACGTGTCGGGGTTAGCTGCTAGGGTTGCTACATCTCCACCACCACCGTGCTGACAGCTGGAGGAGCTGTTTGCTGCAGTGCATTCTGGGTAAACATCTGTCCTCTGGTCTGGTTCTGGTCCAGAAGTCTTGTGGTTTCTTTCAGATGAAAGTCGTGTTTCCCTGTTGTTTTTAGAGATGAGGCCACGACCTTTGACCTGTTGACTGAAGCCTGTAGAGTCTGAGATGGAGCTCATTGTAGGGTCTGACCTTCAGGGTGAATCAGCTGTTTGTGAATAATCTTTCTCTCTGTAGATCGATGGACTCCAGAGAGTTTGGAAGATGACCTTTGACCTTTCCCTGATTGATGGGCTTGTCCTGTATGCGTCCAATCAGCAAAAGCTGCTGCCTTTTAACCTTTAGTTAGCTAACAGAACAGTAACTAAAAGTAACACAAACACTAGCTAAAGAAAGCAGAACATAAGCTAACAGTAGCAGAATGATAAATGCTAAAACTAGCAAAAGTTAGCTAAAAGGATATAAAACAGCTAAAAGTACCAAAAAGCTAGCTAAATGCTAAAAATTCGGGAACAGTATAGCCAAAGGCTCAAACTAGCAAAAAGGTACTAGAAAGCTAAAAGTAGCTAAATACTCGCTAGAAGCTAAAAGTAGTTAAATGCTGCAAAAGGTAAAAAGTAAAAAAAGATTGGTTAAAATGAACAGAACAGTAGAGCTGAAAGTGGCAGAATGATTAAAGCTAAAAGTAGCTATAAGGTAAATTGTCCAAAGGTTGGCTAAAAGCTAAAACGACCTAAAAGAAATTAAAATAGAGCAAGCATGATTTAAAAAATAAAGCTATCGAGGAGATCCCAGTGTTTAAATATTTATTATTTGTGATCATTTGGGACAAAAGTTACACGATGATGATGTGGCTTCGGTGTGTCCTTTAGCCACTTTGGTTTGTTGACTGCTGGAGTTGAAATACGAAGCGGGCCTTGGTTTTTAGATTAGATATGTTTGTTTACGTCATATAATCTGTTTGAAACTTTTCAGCACAAGTTTGTAAACTTTTTTAATCTCTGATAACGGGGAGATGACTTGATTTAAACACGTTTTATTTTTTTATCTTTAAGCTGACAGAACCGACGCTGGCTCCTCCTACATACTACAGCGCTCGGTAAGCCCCGCCCCGATGTAGCGCGCCAAGCCCCGCCCATCTGACGCCACGCGCCAAGCCCCGCCCCTCTATTTTGGTTCTGGTGTCTGATAAGCTTCTACTTTTGGCTCCAGCGTGTTCTGAGGACATCGAGGAGCATCTTTCTGCGCCACAAACAAAAACCGACCGTTTCCTTCACCTGAGTGCAGCTTCACTTCCGGGTCCGGGGCCCTGAAACGTAGCTCAAAGCGGAAGTTAGTTATGGCTGACCGGAGATAAACGGCGCTGCTTCTTCTCCTCCTCCAAAACATCATGGATCCTCCTGAGGTCCAGCCCGGAGATCCGGACGCCGAGCAGGACGCAGAGCCGAGCCCTGCGGAGGTGGACGCCGCGGTGCTGCTGCTGGGGGCCGGCGTCACGGCCGCCACGCACCCGCTGCTGTTCGTCAAGCTGCTGATCCAGGTGAACATCTGCTGGGCCCGGAGTCCGCGTCCATCCGAACCCAGCTTCATGCTGGGCACGTCTTACTGAACATTACTGGAATAACTGGCCTCATCCAGAAGATAAAACCCAGTTAACCCCTGCAGCTGCTCGGCAGAGGCGGTCATACGGTTCAGACACGGGGGGGCTCAGCCCCACATTGGTGGATTTTTGTATTTTATTTGAACAAAAATTTGGTGTTGATTTAATACCAAGTAAATACACGTCCAGTATCGCTGATATCGATTCAATAGTTTTAACTTGTAGGCACGGAGTTGAGAGTTTCATGGGGGGGCGTGTTTTATCATCAATATGCCCAACTGGGCCATGTTTTCATCATTTAAATGACAGAGTTTTACTTTCTACTTTTGAT